CATCAGACAACAGGTAGCTTGGGACTATAATCCCAGAAAGAAAGGGAAAAAAGCAGTAAATTCTGTAATTGTTCCATATTTCTTCCTGGAAAGACTGTGGAACAGAGAGAAAGATCCCAAGGAGAGCCCAGTGGTCTTGCTAAATTGATGTGACAGAGATCAGAGTAGAGGCAGGTTGAAGTGGCTAGAAGTTGCTGCACAAAGTTCTGGAGAGGAATAAGTTACACAGAAAGAGACCTCCAGAAATTGCATAAGGGTTCTCTTCAGTGTGTTGAACAAGAAGATGCACATTCACTGAGTAAAATTTTACAAAACCAGTTACTATGAGGCACTGAAAACACAAAGGTGAACAGACTTCAGGTAGGACTGGAAGACAAATCAAAGTCCAACCACCAGGGTGGACAGTTTTTTTAATTATTATTTTAGTTGTAGATGCACACAATACCTTTATCCTATTTATTTTTTATATGGTGCTGAGAATTGAACACAGTGCCTCACATATGTGAGGCAAGAGCTTTACCACTGAGCCATAACCCCAGCCCCTGGAGAGTTATTCTTGATCATGCAAGAATTCAGTAGAGACCTCAAAAGAATCATGCTTTACTAGGGGGGTTAGGTTATTCCCTAGACTAAAGGTTACTCTTTTTTTTTTTTTTTTTTGTAGTTGTAGATGGACAGAATGCCTTTATTTTTATTTGTTTATTTTTATAGGGTGCTGAGGATTGAATCCAGTATCTCACGCATGCTAGGCAAGTGCTCTGCAACTGAGCTACAGTCCCAGCCCTAAAGGTTACTTTTAGACCAGCTCTAATAGAGCTTGAAAACAAGCCTCTGATGAATCAAATCGAATCACAAATAACTGTTTTTTATTTTGTTTTGTTTGTTTTTTAGTACTAGGGATTGAACCCCAGGGGCATTCTACCACTGAGCTACATCCCTAGCCCCTTTTCTTTTTTATTTTGAGACTGTATCTCAATAAATTGCCTAAACTGGTCTTGAACTAGTGATCCTCCTGCTTCAGCCTCCTAAATGGCTGGGATTACAGGCATGAGCCCTGCACACACCTTAAAGGAAGATTTTTAAGAATCCACTTATGTCAGTGTAAAATTTACAATGTCTGGTGTCATCAAAAATCGTTAGTGAGGCTGGAGCATACCTCAGAGATATAGTGCTTGCCCAGAAAAAGAAACAGAGAGAAAAGAAGGGAAGAGAAAGAATAATAAAGATAAGCTATAAAGGTTAAAACTTTGCCTCTATAAAAATCTGGAGTCTTGTCCCTCAAACCATTATTATATTGCTTATTCAACAAACACATATTGATATATAATGTACATATATACATATATTGAATATGATTGCCATTTCAGTCTAGTGTTGATAATAAGGGATCATAAGAGTTTGGTGTTCTTTCCTGCAAGTCTATTTTTTTTTTGGTAGGGATTAAATCCATGGCCTTGTGCTTGCTAAGCATATGCTTTACCATTCATCTCTCCACCATGGAGCCCAGTAAATGAATCAGGCTTAAATGAGCTAGTAAATGTTTGCTTCACACATTATTTGCAATATTTTTTTTGAAGTTGAAAATATAATAGGTTAGTGAAAAACGTCACCACATCAAAATGACTGTTATCAAAATGACACCTGCCACCAGGGAGAAAAATATATGATAAAATCTATAGGAAACTACTGAGCTACATCCCCAGCTCTTTGTTTTATTTTTTATTTTGAGACAAGGTTTTATTAAGTTGCTGAGGGCTTTACAAAATTGCTGAACTTGGCCTAGAACTTGCAATCATCCTGCCTCAGCCGCCAATGGCTAGGATTACTGTTGTGTACAACCACATTCAGTGGAAAGAATATTTCAGAACCCTGGGGTGAGATCACCAGTGTCCCCTACTGATATGTATATTAGATTTAGCCTCAAAGCAGTGATTAATGATAACCACAAGAGATCTTAACAAGTTATGGGAGATTTCAGTGGATTGAATGGTGATGGGAAGGGAAAAAAATAAAAGAAGTCAGAAAAGGTGGCACAAGCCAGTAATCCCAGAGATCTGGGAGGTAAAAGCAGAAGGATTGCAAGCTCAAAAACAGTCTCAGCAACTTAGTGAGAACCTGCCTCAAAATAAAAAACAAAAAGGGCTGGCGGGTATAGCTTAGTGGTAGAGGGCCCAGTACCCCCCCCCCCAAAAAAAAAATAGTAAGCAAAGGCTGTGAGTGCAGATGAATCTTTTAAGACATCTGGCTATGTGGAGATAGGAAGCAGGGGATCATAAATAGAGGAGGGCATGGGACTGGGGTGTAGAGGTGCTTGCCTAGCACATGTGAGACACTGGGTTGGATCCTCAGCACATAAAATAAATAAATAAAATAAAGGTATTATATCTATCTACAACTAAAAATTAAAAAAAAAATGAGGAGGGCATGTTGTTGAGCAAGGGTCTCCTTAAAATAGGAAAACTGTGTGTGTGTTTAAGTCCCTGCCCAGAAGCCAAGTCCACACTCTAGCTCTGGACAACAGGAGCTCCAGGGACCTGGTTCTGTTTGTATCCCCAGACTTGGTTCCTCTGAAGACCCCACCAGGCTGTACACCCAGGGAGAGGTAGGGCCCTCCAACAAAGGAAAGTTGAGTTGCACTAAAATAAACAAGTGACTCATCCCTATACCTTGGCAGGTGGCAAGGGGCTCTATGAAAGCAGAACTAGAGCAGGGTGAACCTGGAGCCTGTGTTGCCTTGACCTCTGGCCAAGATGTCCAGCCACCTGGGGCTTCCCCAGGCACTTAGTTGCTTCCTGCTGAAAAGAACAAGGATTGGGAGAAGAACTGCCACCTGGCACCTTTGGACAATTGCCATGGTAACCACAGGCCAAGCATTTTATTCCGGTCATTGCCTGGGAGTGGTCCTCCCACATGTACTCTTTTCTAATGTTATGGGCTCATAATTGGGTAGATTCCTCCTCCTCCACCTTCATCCTGCAAAGCAAGGTTCTTTGGCTACTGTCTTTCTCTGATGCCTGACAGAATTTGCCTGAGGTGTCTGAAATATGAGACTTTTCTTGCAAGTGCACAACAAACAACCTGAAATTGAAATTGAGCCAGTGGAGAGTTCTGAAAGTATTGAAGGGTATGGAGGGGCCCTGCAAGGTCAGAGCAACAAGCCAAAAAAATTTTGCTTCTCCAACTTATAGTTCTAGGGCATATCCCCACCATGAGTGGGCTCAGGATGCTTCAGGGTTCATGGTCAACACCCTTGAGCCTGTGAGCTTCAAGACTGACTGAACCCCATTCATCACTCTTCCCCACCCCCAACAGTAGTATCACTGACAGCCCTTACCCATTCAAAACTCACAGGTGGCTACTTCCCCCAAAAGAAAAGATAGGGCCTGAATCAAGGAGGAGAAACAAGCACCACATCCTATGGACAAGAAGGACTACTGGTTCTCCGGTTCTCTCATGATTCTCAGCCCAGCCATACATTAGAAGCAACTGTGTTGCTTTTGAAAACTTCCCAGAGTATAGACAACACTTTAGTAGATTTAAATTCAGTTGAAGTGGTGCTGGGACATTGGTGTGTGTGTGTGTGTGTGTGTGTGTGTGTGTATTTAAGTATTTCAGGTGTGTCCAAGTTCTGCAACCAGAGATCTGGTTTCAACTCCTGGTCCTTCCCAGTGTTGTGACCTTGGACAAGTTACTCAACATCTCTAAGCCTCCATTCTCTCAGCTATAAAAGAGTGCCAACCTAATGGAGCTGTGAGGAGGATTAAATGAAATAACGCATGCTTGGCCATTGTGCCCAGAACATAAGTGCTCAAATATTATTCTGTTGAAGCAGCAGCTGTTACTGTTCTGGGACTCAGATTTGGAGCTAAGATTTCTGAGTAAGAAAGTGACACAGCCAGGTGCAGTAGCACACACCTTCCAATCCCAGCCACTCAAGAGCCTGAGGCAGAAAGATTGCAAGTTCAAGGCCAGCCTTACAACTTAGTGAGACCCTTTCTCACTAGCTCAGTGGTTAAGTATCCCTGAGGGAAGGAAGGAAGGAAGGGGAGGGGAGGAAGGGAAGGAAGAAAGGGAAGGAAGGAAAGAAAGGAAGGAAAAAAGAAAGGACCTACTACTTCCAGTGCTGGGGGTTAGACCCATCCTTTACCCAGGGTGGGATTGAGAGGAATCAGAGTCAGGTTCAAAGGGAGATGGGGTCATGGTATTGGCGCCCACGCCTGGCTACTCTCATTTTCTAATGCAGTTCTGGCTATTCTAGGAGGATGTAGATATAGCCAGGGCATGGCTCAGGAGGCTGAGGCAGGAGGATTAAGAGTTTAAAGCCAGCCTCAGCAAAATCAAGGCACTAAGCAACCCAGTGACACCCTGTCTCTAAATAAAATACAAAATAGGGCTGGGAATGTAGCTCAGTGGTCAAGTGTCCCTGAGTCCAACCCCCCCACACCAAAAAAAAAAAAAAAAAAGAGGATGCAGATGTTCTGCATCTGTGTGGACAGTATGGTACAAGGAACTAGTTAGCACTTACAATGTGGCTAGTGTGAATGGGGACCTGAATTTTTTACTTTATTTAATTTTAATTAATTTAAAATTAACAGCTACATGTGGCTGATAGCTACAGTGTTAGTGTAGAACTAAACATATGTGTGTTGAGGATAAGAATAAATTAGGACAAAAAATAAAATATTCTAGCCAAGGATTTTCCCTCTGAATATGTCATTTGAGCCTCAAAAAATAGTTTCAAAGAAATATAACAGGTATTGAAGACCCATTTTATAGATTAGGAAGATCACACCAGATCGCTCCAAATCACACCAGATCGCAATGAGTGTTAGAGGGATAGCCAAGACCTTTTCTCATCTATCTGCAGGAAAATTTCTCTCTCCATTGGAGCATCTCATATCAGCCCTCCAGCTCTTCTCCAGGTCTCTGAGCAGGTTCTCTCAGTCCCCTGGCCAGGGCTCAGGTTCCCTATCTCCTCAGTCCTCCCCAGTGCTACTCACCTGGAAGAGCTCCTGAACCTGAGCATCCACCCATTGCTCCATATCCAACCAGCGCTGGAGCTGCACCCGGTCGTATTTCACTGTCAGTCGGCTGGGTCTCCTGGACCTGGATATCCTAGAGGGGTCTGTGTCTGAGGATGATGTCCTCCTCCTTTTCTCAGAAGTCCACTGGACCGTCTTACTTGGGTTCTCCTTGTCTGGGTTGGGAGATGTACAGGAAGCATGGCTTGAAGACAGCATGGAAGGACTGACCTGGGCAAGGAGCTGAGAAAAACTGCCAGTCAGACCAAGAGCACAGAGGGAAATGAGGAGACAGAATGGAGGGAGAGGCCAGTGCGAAGGCAGAAGAGAGGAGGGCCAAGGGCCCTGGGAGTGGTGAAGGTCAAAGATCAACAGGCTTTTGGTGCTGGGAATGCCAGTCTCCTGGCTCCTTACTGCCAGTAAGTGGCACTCCAGAGCTGTGCCCCAGTTTCACTTTCTGTAGCTGCTGAGGCCCACAGTATCATAAACTATAGACAGGCAGAAGTCCAGAGGCCGCCATTCCCCAGGAGGAGGAAAGAAGGGACCTTGGATCCTGAGAGGTGAGGGGACACAATGGGTGCCCTTTGGGGAGCTCTTGAACACCTGAGTCACCCACCTGAGAGCCCTCTGCATCCCACCTTCTTGGTACAAAATCCACTCTGGGCCCCCAGGCAGCTATAATCAGTTCCAACAAGAGCAGGGCCCCTGGCTGACAGGGCTTCCTGCTCAGAGCTTGGCACCACAAGGGCAAGTCTCAGGTGGTTGATGAATTGGGAGTTGGGTGGTTGATGAATTGGGAGACCTAATATGTTCAGTGCCCCTTTATGTCTGGGTATGTCTGAATGTGAGCTGCTATCAGCCTGGCCTGTGTGCTTATGAAGGCAAATTTATCAAGCTTAGTCTACCCTGCCTGTTCCCCAGAGGCAGTTTCTTAGGAAGCCATGTTTATCATCACATGACCCTCTGCTGATTCAGCTCCTTCCTGACACAGAGGAAACCTGCAGACTTAACTAATACCCAGGTGTCAAGGACTAGTACTTTAGATAAGCTTGCATTCTAAAGGGAGGATATGTTTGTTCCTTTGTTTAGTCTTTTCTAAATTTTCTTTTCGTTCTTTTTCTTTTTCTTTCTTTCTTTCTTTCTTTTCTTTTCTTTTCTTTGGTTACAGGAGAATACTATAACTTTTCTTAAAGAAATAAATGCTCAGAAGGACAAACAAATTAAAATGAGTTTTTCTCCTCTCCCCAGCAGCACCTCCACCAACAGCTTGTGGCTTTAGCTCTTCTGCAATCACCATTATTTTCTCTTTATGGAATATCTTTTTTTTTGCATTTGTCAGTTAGACATATCTTTTGTCTCTTCAATGTGAAGGATGAGAAATTAACTTACACTAACTTCCTTGTCCCCTTCACGTTCAACATTCCAATTTGTGTTTAAATACTTCTTTTCAGATTTTATAATGGTTGCCTTTAGGATGTTGAGTTTCTGCATGCACTGTATTGACTTCTGCTATCATACAACAATTACTAAAAGAGGTTTGGAAAAACGTGAGTGCCAGGCACAGTGGCCCATGACTGTAGTCAGCCCCAGCTACTTGGGTGGCTGAGGTAGAGGATCTCTTCAGCCCAGGAGTTCAAGGTTAGCCTGGCAAAGTAACAAACAGCTGTCTCTCAGAGACAGAGAGAGAGAGAGAGGGACCCTGTTTTTATAAAACTTATAGTTTGATGTAAAAATAAACATTAGTTGATTAATCCAATGAAAGTAAAACTACCACTTTATTTAGCGATTTGAAGAAAGGGTGGGTAAAAAGTACTGTAAGAATGTCCAGTCCTGTGAGTCTGTGACCTAGTGAATGAAAACATTCAAACTGAGTTCTGAAGGTTTAGTAGGAGCTAACTAGGCACAGAGGTCAACATAGATGGGTCTGGCTGAAGACAGAGCATATATGAAGGCCAATGGTAGAAGGGAGATGGTGAAGTTGGGTGTGGTGGTACACACCCATAATCCCAGCAATTTAGGAAGCTGAGTCAGGAAGAACACAGTTCAAGGCTAGCCTGGGCAACTTAGTGAGACCCTTATTTTTATTTATTTTTTGGAGAAGAGGGGTATCAGGAATTGAACTCAGGGGCACTCAACAACTGAGCCACATCCCCAGTCCTTTTTTATATTTTATTTAGAGCAGGGTCTTATTGAGTTGCTTAGGACCTTGCTATGTTGCTGAGGCTGGCTTCGAACTTGCAATCCTCCTGCCTCAGACTTCCCAGCCACTGGGACTACAGACATGTGCCACAGCGCCCAGCCTATTTATTTATTTTTAAAAATATCTTTACTAGTTGTTGATGGACCTTTATTTTATTTACTTAGTTATGTGTGGTGCTGAGAATCAAACCCAGTGCCTCACACATTTGAGGCAAGGGCTCTATCATGGAGCCACAAGTCCAGTGCCCCCCCCCCCAACTTATTTTTTATTTTTATTTTTTTTATTGTGGGTTGTTCAAAACATTACAAATTTCTTGACATATCATATTCCACACTTTGATTCAAGTGGGTTATGAACTCCCACCTTCACCCCATACACAGATTGCAGATTCACATCAGTTACACATCCATTGATTTACAAATTGCCATACTAGTGTCTGTTGTGCTCCGCTGCCTTTCCCATCATCCCCCCTCCCCCCTCCCCACCTCTCCCCTCCCCTCCCCTCCTCTCTCTCTACCCCCTCCACTGTATAACCCTGAGGGTCTCCTTCCATTACCGTGCAATTTCCCTTCTCTCTCCCTTTCCCTCCCACCTCTCATCCCTGTTAAATGTTAATCTTCTTCTCCTGTTCTTCGTCCCTACTCTATTCTTAGTTACTCTCCTTATATCAAAGAAGACATTTGGCATTTGTTTTTTAGGGATTGGCTAGCTTCACTTAGCATAATCTGCTCTAATGCCATCCATTTCCCTGTAAATTCTATGATTTTGTCATTTTTTAATGCAGAGTAATACTCCATTGTGTATAAATGCCACATTTTTTTTATCCATTCGTCTATTGAAGGGCACCCCCAACTTATTTTTATGTAAATTTTTTTATTTATATATGACAGCAGAATGCATTACAATTCTTATTACATATATAGAGCACAATTATAGAGCACAACTATCTCTGGTTGTATACATAATATATTCACACCAATTCACGTCTTCATATATGTACTTTGGATAGTAATGATCATCACATTCCACCATCATTAATTACCTCATGTCCCCTTCCTTCTCCTCCACCCCTCTGCCCTGTCTAGAGTTCATCTATTCCTCCATGCTCCCACTCCCTATCCCACTATGAATCAGCCTCCTTATATCAAAGAAAACATTCAGCATTTGTTTTTTGGGGATTGGCTAACTTCACTTAGCATTATTTTCTCTAATTCCATCCATTTACCTGCAAATGCCATGATTTTATTCTCTTTTATTGCTGAGTAATATTCCATTGTGTATATATGCCACATTTTTTAATCCATTCATCTATTGAAGGGCATTTAGGTTGGTTCCACAGTTTAGCTATTGTGAATTGTGCTGCTATAAACATTGATGTGGCTGTGTCCCTGAAGTATGCTGTTTTTAAGTCCTTTGTTTATAGACTGAGGAGAGGGACAGCTGGGTCAATTGGTGGTTCCATTCCCAATTTTCCAAGAAATCTCCATACTGCTTTCCATATTGGCTGCACCAATTTGCAGTCCCACCAGCAATGTATGAATGTGCCTTTTCCCCACATTCTCGTCAACACTTATTTCTATACTTTTTTTTTGTTTGCATGCATAATAGCTGTCATTCTGACTAGAGTGAGATGAAATCTTAGAGTGGTTTTGATTTGCATTTCTCTAACTGCTAGTGATGATGAACATTTTTTCATGTATTTATTGATTGATTGTACATCATCCTCTGAGAAATTCTATTCCATTTTTATTTTTTCAAATAAAAAGTGAATTAGTGACAATCCACTTTATTTAGTTACTTATATTGAACTCAGGGGCACATCCCCAGCCCTTTTTTCTATTTTATTTAGAAACAAGGTCTTATTGAACCTGGGGATTGAACCCATTGCCTTACGCATAGGAGGCAAGCACTCTACTAACTGAGCTATATCCCTGGCCCCACTTTATTAAGATTCACTAATGGATTCCAACATGTTTTTGTAGAACAACTTGATGATTTAGTCACTCAATCACTGTTATTAGACATATAGATTGCTACTAGTTTTCCATTATGAACAGTGCTGTTTGGAACATTCTTGTAACTTTCTTTGCTCACATTAATGATTTATTTCCCTTAATAGAAATTTATAGAGGTGGAACTACAATGTCATAGGATATGCAAAACTGTGGGGGGGTTGGTATTTATGGATATATTGGTTGTCAAGTAAACTGTATATAGTTTGAAATTATATACTATTTTCAGTTAATAAGGGCAGCAGTTATCTCTTGCTGTATAACAAATCATCCTAAAATATATCAGCTTTAAACAATAAGCATTTGTTATATCACTGTTTGGGTAGGTGAAGATTCTGGGATTAGCTCCCTCAGCTGGGTCCTCTGGCTCAGGAATTCTCATAAGGCTGCAGTCGAGGTGTCAGCTGGGCCTGTAATCATTTTAAGATGCAACTGTAGGAGGACCTACTTCTAAGCTCACTTACATGGGTGTCGGCAGGTCTTGAGTTCCAGATGCTATTGGCTAAAGACATGGGTTTCTTGTCATGTGGACTTCTCTAGAATGCTATTTAGGATGAAGCATGTCAATTACATTAGACCAGAGAAGGAGAAAGGGAGGGAGAGAAAGAAGGAATTGCAGTCTTTTGTAATCTAGGGAGGTGACATCCCATAACTTTGGCTATATTCTAGTCATTAGAAGCAAGTGACCAGATCCAGACACACTGAAAGAGAAAAGATTACACAAGAGTGTGAATACCTGGAGGTATAGATCACTGGTAGCTAGTTAGAGGGTACCTACAATAGAAAATCGTGGGCACTTTCAACATTAGAATTCTTCAAAAATATCCATTTAAGGGCTGCTGCAGTATCTGAGAGGGTCTATCCTATCCCCCTTTAAATAAAACTGATAGTGGCCTAATCTTCAAAAGTATTGCATTACTTCCCCCTCAAAATTCCTCAACAAAAAATCATTGTTTCTGGGATTGTGGCTCAGGGGTAGAGTGCTCACCTAGTATATTCGAAGTCCTGGGTTCGATCCTCAACATCACATAAAAATAAACAAATAAAATAAAGCTATTGTGTCCATGTACAACTAAAAAATAAATGTTTTTAAAAATCATTGTTTCTGCAATATAATTAGTGGACTTTTATTTACTTTTATTATTAACAGTAAAATTCATTTTGTAATTGTTATCCTTCTGTTTCCCTTATTATTGGCATTAAACCACCCAGATA